AGCACACTGGCTCATGTTGACACACAACTCCCGGGGAAAGTAAAAGAATGGAAAACTGCCAAGAGAGAGACCGGGCATGCGACAATGGAGAAAAAAAAGGAAAAGAAAAAAGTCAGGGAATAAAAGCTGGCACCAGTGTTAAAAATTCACAGTGAACTTTACTGCTGACTCGGTAAAGACATGGTCAGTGATTTGAGTAAAAAAAAGTCCAAATAACCAGCAACGTTCAATTTAAAAAATTTAAGTAGGGAAAATAAAGAGATAGGGTAGACCAAATGCCTAAAACAAAACAATGTAAAACATTTTTCGGGGAAACTGAATGAACGTTCAGACAAAAACAAATTTGACATATGTGAACTTTGAACTTTGGCTTTAAGATTGAAACACGGGCGGCATGTTCAATGGGGACCGACTTTGGAACCCCTCCGTTGAACTGATAATATAAACAAGCCGGTCACACCATGGTTGCCTAACAGATATTCATGTGATTCCAACGTGTGCCAATTTGGTCAATTTATAACGGATGAATTTCCCTCACTGTTTACAAGCGTGACTGGTTTCTCTACATTGAAATCTCAATTTGATTCCATTTTTAATTTCTCCTGAGCACAATTTAGAAATTTTATTCAGACGGCCTGGCTCCAGTCCCAGGCCATCTATCAATCAACCGACAATAAAAAATTTCATGTTATCTTTCGAGAGCTTTTGTGCGCCGGGCTTGGAGTTAATTCACAGATCACGATTACAGCTCCTGCCACTCAAAAACAGTTTTTCATTAATTTTTTTTGGGGAAGAAACGATATACAGTACAGGTGCATACATGTATACAGCGCCAATGCGTACAATGTACAGGACAGAACATGGGGAGAAAGTACATGTGCAGGTTCAAATGCCGGCCTGCATGCTGTAATTGTATACAACAATTATTTGTTAACAGCAAACCCCCTAGATCCTCCAAAATCCATCGGGGGTTCTAGGTTACATCAAGGGATGTGGAGTGGTACGTGGAGAACCTTACTACTAACGGTTTACATCAGTTGATGCTCGTTGACAGTTACAGTCCAAAGAAATAGGCCTTCAATTCACCGTAATGACCCAATTTTTTTGTATTTCAGACGGAATTTGAAAATTATTGGTGCAAGTTTACACTTTACTACTTAACTCAAAAATTATATTTTCATGATCTTCAAATTTCAGATTTAGTTACTAAAATGCTCTGAAAGGATATCTTTTAAGTGTTGGTACATGTACCGTACCAAAAAGATGAAGTCATTTCAGCGTCTCCATTTGCTAAAAATTATGACCTATTTGGGATCATGCTATCCCGTTTTAGGACGTGTGCATTTCAGGAAAGATTACCGATAATACTGTCTTAAGGGAAGTATGTACGCACATGTATGAGTGGTTAATGTCCATTTAAATGCAAAACTTTATTTAAATGTACCGCACGTACGGTACATGTACAGTGTATACTGTGAAAACTCTTTTTGCTGTCCATTGCAATCTGTAATGGGAGTACGAAGGGGAAAGACGCCGATCAAAAAGATTAATACAAGATTTCCACAAACAGGTGATAGACTGAGTAACAGGACCAACTCAGATTCAACAGTCTGATCATGTTAAAGAGTGGTAAATATTTCAAACCGACACTGCGCAAGCAATTAAATTTTAAACCTGATGGACAACTTTGCAAAGTTCGCGTGACAGCTCCTCCAAACCACAAGTTTTAAAAGCTAAAAGCTAACAAAGTACACACATCTTAACCCTCCTCAAAGTCAACCAGAATCGCTGGGAATATCGTCCGGATTTAACACTTCATGTAGCTGCGCCAAAGTACACACGCAGTGCTATTTTTTCCGATGACAGGTAAAAGCAAGTTGATTCATTGTATTGATTCTCTGTTGCCATCAGTCAGAGGAACACACAACTTTCCCTCAATATCTGTCAGGGGCCACTTGCGACAACCTTTTGTTTGGGGCCACAATGCGGGGTACCGATTGGGCCGGCCTTCTTTTACGAGGAATTTGGTTGGCTGCCTACCTGTACAACCCAAGACAATGGCCCATTGTTGGTGACTTCCTACCGGTACCAACCGACCGATTTTTTTTTCTTTTATTAAAAAAGCAGAGGTACATGTAACTGGGGATGTCCACATTGAAACGAGAACCCATGCCTTTGGACGCTACATCAACTACATGTTCTGTATCAGCACGAAATCCAATGATTATTCTACCATGTACGGTACATTGTCAAAACTAAATACTTTTCAGTCCCACATGTATAGAAATAGAAAAAGTTTCAAAATCCATTTTCGTGGCACGTTTTGTCCTGAATTTTCTCATGTGGAATCTGATAGCCTTGATGTCCCAACTTCAAGCGCAAGAAATGTGCCACTGGGTTACGGTACAGTGATGCGTATCAATTGACTAATGCAGGAATTTTTCAACAATGACATACGTAAAGAATAAAGGCACATCGTCTTCAATGGGAATTTTTGCGAACAGGTTGGCAACATGGGAGCCACTCGACATATTTTCATAGCTGGATTTTAAAAGGAAAGAGAAGACTATTGGGAAATATGGAACTTTTTCAAAGCTGCTGTTGAGATGTAGGCACATGTACGATACATGAACTTTAGCATTCACAGCAACAATGGACAAAATAATTTGCAAAACACTGTATTGTAAGTAATAAAGTATTGTTGAGTCAGAGTAAATTAATTTTGGGATGCCAATTTTTTAATGCCTTTATCAGGTCTGCTTTACTAGTGTCAACTTTCAGAATCACTAATGATGGGAATTGCAGCTTTGCTTTTGGAAGACATTGACCCTGTACCGTTTATGCACGTGTTTCTACAAAAATTTGAGTTTTTGGGGTTTTTTTCCCAATTTTTAATTCTAATGGTAAATGAAATTGTTCTTTCACTTTGCCCATCATTAGATCATTAGCCTTTAACTGACACGTGATATGTGCATTTAAAGGTCATTTTATTGTTACTAAACATGTACACGTATCGTTAATTTTTGTGAATAAGAAAAAGTCTACCAGACCACCCCCCCCCCACATGTACCGGTACACACCGACACACACAAATGACAGAATCACCAGACCATAAATGATGCGATAGTTATTTCAGCATACATGTAACATAATGAATTTTTTTTTTTCGCTGGCACTTTTTTCCCTCCCACATGTTTATGTGGGGCTGTAGACCTTTAAAATGCAACACAAGTGAAACTAAACCGCAGAGCAATAGAGAAGCGAAAAAGAAAAAAAGAAGAAAAAAAAACTAGAGTAACCGTATGGTGCACACAAAATTGTCATGAATGCAAACTTTCAGTTCCACTGCGTTTGATAAATTGTGTCTGGCAGGGCAGTCAATATAAACAAACAAACATCGGACCGCAGAGAGAGAACAGAAAGAACAAGGGAGAGAGACATGAGGAAGTTGCTAGGTGCAGAGGCTGGCATCGCAGCAATGCGCGTCGGCAGTTAGTGCGCGGCCAAGTTCGTGGGCAGGAAAAATATTTAATAAAACAAAACACTCGTGTTGCACTGTGAAATGTAGGTCTTCGATTAAACTTTAAACAGCATGGTTTTTTTCCTTTCACGCAGAAATGTGCTAATTTATGTGGGAATTTTGCTGACTGGCGACGTGTGTTTAGTCACTGTTCATACTCGCAAAATCAATGCCCCTTAATTACAGGTTGTTTTGGGACTATTGGTCCGGCACGCATCCACACATCGTTAAGAAGCATAAAATGCACAGTCACGCATGTGGTCTACCTTACACTAGCTAGCAAATGACAGAGTACTATTCAGAATTTTTGGAAAATTCATTTAGAGAGTTAACATAAAACAGAAAACAGAATTAAATTTTCATAACAAGTTCGATATTTCAGACAAATCTGATACAATATGGTCTTGGCCATTCTATTCAAATATCACGGCCAGTCTTGCTCTTACAGAGTTGCAGCATTTTCCCAGCAGCTCCATGTATGCATATCGGAACTAGCATCGCCCCCACAATATCTACAGTATAACGATCCAGAATTAGCACCATCCATCACTAGGCCTCCTAACCTCCAACACCTGTATTCAGAATTGCAGGGGGAAACCTTTCCTGCAGTTTACGGTGCAAAAGGAAACACATCGCCCCATGCCTAGGAGGTGTGGAATATTCACGCTGCCCGTCCAACAGGTGTCGGCTAGAACTCTACAGACAATCTAACACTCTCTCTGCAGAATCCTGTAACTTTGCCAATGGTACTTTTTTTTCTTCTTCTAGATAACGAATCCAATAGCACTGAGAAATCGTTGAGGTATCGAGTCCAAAGTGACAAAGGTCCTTAAAGGAGTGACCACAGCATGTACTGCAGGTCTCGCCTTAAACCCCCCCCCCCAAACCTTCCACCTACTGTCGCCGCTGCAGGCAACTGCAACGTGACCTGGTGGCATAACGTCGTCGCTGCCAGGATATCACTCAAGATGTAGGGGTGTCGGTGTCAGACTTGGGCTGACAAGGGGGAGCGGCGATAGTCGATCTGTCCCGCTGCGCCTAAGCACCAGGTGCGTGGGATGGAATGTCCACAATTCATCAACCGTGTCTGTGTGTGTGCTGGAATTTCGGGGTGTATTCTCTTCGCCTGGAACAGGCATCAAAACTTTGGGTTCTTGGCAGACAGGTTGCAAGTTGTCAAAGTTTTTTTTTCGTCTTTCCTTTTGCTAACTCACTTTGATGCACACATGAATATGGGTCAAGCTGATCATTTTACAGGAGTACTTTTTCCCCTTAATATTTTCTGTTAAGTAAAAGGTACTACTGTATAAATAATATTAATAAATGAGAAAATCAAGGAAGGGAAAACCTTTAACCACGAAACGAAAACAGTCCTTTAAACAGGAAACGTCCTTTATCGGGCAAAAACTGAAAATGCAGAATAACAAGTGCATGTCTTTCTTTTAAAAAAAGGAAACACTAAAACGGGATTGACAAGAGAAGCTAAGTGCTTTGATCAGAGACGAGAAAATTTGAACCAAAAACAAATTAAATGGGGACTTACCGAAGAGCCGGGTACCATGGAGCCATTTGGATGGTATCCGCCGGCGATGATCGCCAGGTTGTTGTACGCGGCAAACCGGGCGATGTCATGGAAATGCTCGGCTTTACTCCCTGGGGTCGAGTAGGACGGGGAACTTTCAAATCGACTGGTAAATCCATTCAATCCGAGCGCAGGGGCTGAGGAAGATAATCCAGAGAGATTAATCATTCATGGGATTAGGTACAGGTATTGGGATCAGGTACAGAGAGGAGATTAGCACAAAATATCCATGCTTTTCAAATTTGTATCTCTCTCTCTCAGAAAGGCGATCATGAATTTTGTATAGCCATTGGCAAAAGGTTTTTTTTTAAAGCTGAACAGAGGGGTATTGAGAATTTCATAATCACTTGATCAATTCATTTCGGAATATCTGGAATAATTCAAATTTACAATGTACACACATCATGTACGTACATGTATGTAAATCCAAGTGGATATTCTCCCTGGAAAAAAAAAGTAACAAAATTTCACCAAGAACAGGATTGGAAAGTATACAAATACCCTGTAACCCAGCACTCTAGATTTGTAAACAAAAAAAGTTTTTTTTTAAAGGGAATCGATCCACTGTCCAGGGTTACAATGGGATTTAATTCAAACTACACACTGAATCTCCTTCTACAGAGAGAGTAAGGTGACAGGAAATGCCCAGGGCAATTCAATTTCCCAGTCATGCATCAATGCAGATATGTATCAATAACAAAAATATGTATCTGTGTGTATTTGTGAAGGACGTCCGGGCCCTATTGGCCCAGGACGAAGGGTTACAGTCCGGCCTATATTGTAATTTTGGATAAAAATATAAAGTTGAATATTTTTTTATTGTTTCCGCTTCATGTACCCATGTAAGAGTAAACTCCATCACTTTTTACCCTTATCCTGCTAAATGCAACAGAAAGCAACAAAGGTAAAAAGTTGTTGCATACTGTTGCATGAAGCAGGCAACTCAAGTTCCCGTGCTCTTATGCATCTTGTTGCACTTTAAGCAGGGTAACTGCTCATTGTGCCAAGGCAATACAACAGAATCCACTGTTGCATTTGGTTGTATTTAGAATGGCAACTGCTTGGTGCCAAGGCTGGTATGCACGGGGCTCGATGCACCATGCAACAGAATCCACTGTTGCAATGTGCAAATCCTCTTGCTTTCTACAGAAACCTATGTTTTGCGTAAAAAAAATGAATGCATATTCACAGTTTTCTCAAAAAATTAATTTAGTGCTACATGTAGCTGAAATTTCAACAGTTTAGTTTTTTTTATAACCCGCTTCAGATTTTATTGTATTGTTGTTTCTTGAGCTGGCCAAAAAAACAGAGTTTTTTGCATATTTCTCCGGCAATGAAGTCTGTTGCCCTAGACCAAATGTTGTAGATCAGCTTACAATATTTTGAAGAATGTTCCGTTATGGATGCAGACAAAAATTCTGGTTTCCGAGTTAGCAAGGACACATGCTGCACATTTCTGGGCTAATGCTGCAAGCTCAGAATACATACAGGCAATTCAGTCAAATTTCACTTCTCTGCGTACATCCGACAACATGATGTACAAGGTCATGCATTACGGTGGTGGTATATGTAGTTTGGCCTGTTATTGTATTCAACTCATTAGATGTCACATATTAGTGATGTATCACATTCACTTTTCCAACAGCAGTTCATCAAAGTGTCTGACTCTGACATGTACGTCCAAATTTACCAAACTGCCCCCACATGCAAGTTGCAGAACTGCTTGGTTAGCAGAGATTTTTTTTCAAAGTTTTTTGTATTTCATTGAGTGTTCCATTGTTGTGGACTAGGAGTTGGGTAAAAAAAAATTGGCGGAAACCTAAACAAAAACTTTTGCCTGGCATTTTGTTTTCATTGGGAAACGATGCAGACACGCGCATGCTTGAAATTGTGAAATGTGTCTTTTTTTTGTTAAATGTACTGTACATTTCTTCAACAGACGGACATTAAAAAAAAAAACGTGAATTGTGAATCCATTTGATTTACGTTAAATCACTGGTATTTACACAGATTCTTGGGCATTAGTTGAGATTTTTTTGTTAACCAATCAATTATTGCTATCAGGATCATTTAATGAAGATCATATAATTCAAGGGTTTTTCCTGCTGGGGTTTATTGTGTACAGCAGGTGTTTTATTGGTGTGCACACTTGCCCCTAAGCAAGGGTCAAAGAACTCTGGCTTTCATCAATATTGTGCCAATCATACTGTTTTTTTCATACTGGGTTTTTTATGGGAACTCGCAAATGCCAGTGCTGGCCATCAACATAAACATGCAGTTCAGTGTATTAGCAAGCATTTGAAAAAAAAATTGGTGTTCAAATTGGCTTGAATAGCAAAACAGGGTGTCAAACGTTGCTAGAATTCCAATTGCTTTTACATCAATAAATTTGCGTAACAAACTAAAGTAGCCACAAAAGCCTTCTGGTTTCTGGCTGATAGCCTGAAGCAGTTAGACTCTGGTGGAGGCTAGACAGTGCTTTTATTTTAAATCTTCTAAAATATTTTGCGCAATTCAGTTGTTGTGTTCTAAAACTAGATATGCATTGCCTTCAAAAACAATAAATGATATAAATTTGAAAACTTTTGCAATCTTGAGCAATTTTGTGCGGCACACTTCTTACCATGTTAATATACAGCCCTAACTTATCAACACCATTTTGATCAAAATTTGAAGTAAATGTGGACTACATTTAAACACGGATCACATTTAGGTGGTGCCATTTTTTTTGGGGGGGGGGGCAAAACTTTAAAAATGGCAGCACTGTATTGCAATTGCAATGACAGCTTTTTTTTTTAACGGATCACTTATAATTCCATCCATAATTTTTTAAAATGGTTTCACTTAGTATGCCCTTTTACCAAATGGCCATACCAGAAATTAACATTTGGAAAGACTGCCAAAAAAAATATCCAAGTTCAAATTCAAAGGTTTTCATGCAATAAAAAAGACATGCCAATGTGGTTTTTCGGTTAACCAGGGTTCGGTGATCATGCAATAAATATCAAACTCCGTCTGGCCTTGGCACACAGATACTGATTTGGAATGTTTTTTGCACATGTAGAGAATGAAGGGAAAAAAAAGAAATTACTAGCGATCTTCCCTGCAAATCCTGTGCGTGTTTTCCTCGTTCATCCATCTGGATAAATCTCCAGAGTGTGACGGCTGTCGCAAGAATTTCCATTAAGTGTGTGAGACTGTTATGGTTTTTTTTCCGGTTTTTTTTCTTTCATTTTTCACTGCAGACAAGAGGGAAAATGCGAGCCGAAAAATGTTGTGTGCCATTTTAATGTGCTTGCACAAAAAGGAAGTTGTGACTACAGTTGTATTTGTCTTGTATTTTTTTTGCTATAATTGCAGGAATAATCAGTTGGTTGAGGATTTGCAAAAGCTCCAATCTTTTGCATGAGTGCGTGATGGTCTTTACTGAAAAAGCGGAAACGTATCCAATCGATACAAATTTCGCAGCACGCCATTCGGAGAAGGCTAATAAAGGAAACATGAAAGTGACCACCTTGCATAAATTGGATTTTCACATTTCACACTGTTCGCCTTCACAGATTGTACGGTGTATGTTGGAAAGTTACGCTCGATGTATTTCTTAATATCACCCCTCCCCCCCCCCCCCCAACACACACAAAAAGACATGTTTAAGGCTTGAGGTAAAATGTCAAATTCCAATGTCTGTTAAACGGATACGGCACCTAAAGATTTTGGCAATGAATATAGTGTAGCAACATGGTAAAATTAGCAAGCAATTGTCACCAACGTTGCAAAGGATCGTTTTGTAACGCGAAGATACCTTTTGTCGCAATGCAAGCAGATCACAGACTAGGACAGGGAGCAGACTTTACAACGAAATTTTATCTCCAATTCTGAAACAGTGCCCACGAAGCCTTCTGTTTAATAACAACAATACCACCTTGAATGTTCCCACACTAAATATCATTTATTCCCATTGTGTCCTCATCTGACCCACGTCTCCCTGTTTCTGCTACATGTGCCTGATCGGAAAACTGTGGAATTATCGGTGTGAATCGAGGTCAAGTGCTGGGTATCAGTAAGGCTGTTAAACAAAGCGTTATGACAGCATCAATGATGCAGACGGTAGTAAAAATTTATGATTTGCTTGATATGCATGTAATAATATGCTGGGCTGCAGGTTTTATCATGCACATGTACAATTGACATCAACTGTGTACTGTATGTACATGTGGCAGCTGTTAATTTTATAGCACTGTCTTAAAGGGAAGATACAACATTTGCAAACATCAAAAAACGAAATGATCAAATTATCACGAAATATCTCACTGGATTGTTAGGGAATGACAGCCTAAAGCATCCTTAAAAGTTGCAGCTCCTGGTGTGCTGACATTTTCAAGAAAAAGTGTATTTTTCCAACGCTGGTCGGCCGACCAGCGTTGGAGAAAACTGGCTTTTTTCATATTTCTCTCCTAATTTGTCATATATAGTTCGTCTACGTTTTCTTTGCAATTGATTACACACCTGTGAAGACTACAACCCTGCTAGATTGATTCTCATGATCTTACAATTCCCCAAAGTCTATAAATTGCTCCGGTTCATCTTAAGTGGCGTCAGGGAACCAGACTACAAGAATATGATTGGTTTTCTTGGTTTTTCCAGCATCTACGAACCCAAAACGTGAAACAAGTCAGTGTAATAATATTTGCTATAACATAATAATCCTCCAAATCCATTTATTTCTGAAAATTGCAGAAAAAGCAAATGTTGTACATTCCCTTTAACTGTTTATCTTAGGAACAAACTACATGTATACGCATACATGGTAAATACATGTACGTGTACAACTGTAAAGGCTGATTCATACTCCACGCAAATTTCAGTGCTAAGTTAGGGTAACAGTGACACGTCACAATGAAACTTTAACTTCAAATTTTGATGTCATGCAATTGGCTTCACTTTCACGTAAAGTACAAACCGGCCTTCAGACATGTGCTGAGCTATGAGGGCAAATGAGACAAAATTGACAGTTTATTCCAAAAGGACATTTTTCAACAACAATTTTGTTAATTGCCAAAATTACATCAGAATGTTGTCAATATATAGTGTATAGCATGGTTGTTGAAAATGTATTTGAGGTGCGCTTTCTGCAAACTGTTTGTTTTGGGATGAATGATTACACACATGTATGTAGTTCGTCGAACTTGTGTGGGGGGATTTCACGATTTAGTCAATCCAGTATTTGTCCCAAAACTCCCAATAATATGATAATTAATCCCCAATTTAGATACAGTACAAAATGCTTCTTTTAATAAAATTTGCTGCTTGCCCATTTTAATATCCAGCATAGATTGAGTTGACCATGTTGACCCTGTTTTAATATGTGTGTTTCTTGCCTTTAATACATGTACATAGTACATGCATGTAGGCCTAATTGTAAGTGGATTGCTACTATTTTTATGGTCTGAGAATAATCATGTCCTTGAAACCATAATAAAATCAAGTTCACACACAAGAGGGTGCAAATTTGACAATTCAGCAATTAAAGACAAAATATGTACAATGCATGCTGTGTGCACTGTAACTAATGCACATCACACATGGGTACATTGGGGTGCATGTAATTTGTGTACTGCAAGGGGCATGCATGAGTGTACGGCCATTTTGAGCAATTCATGTCCGCACGGGGGCTCAAATTTCGCCATTTCCCTGACCGCACAATGGCGATGCCGACCATCAAGCCAGGGGACATGCCACTCCATGACATGCACGTGCAAAATGGAATGCCCTGGGTCGTGCTGTTGGCCGCCAAAACCACCAGGTCACCAGATTTACTGAGTCATACTATGCCATTACGGTATAACACAGTGGGTATTATTGTACGGCACATGCAATCCAATAGCCGTGCAACGCCGTGAAAACACGGCGTGCTTAGTACTACACACACACTACGCACCTTCACCAACAACGGGGACACCATGGAGTTTCTTAGGCCGGCCGTCCTTGCTCGAGTCGGCATACTCGCTCGGTCCTAGCCGTTTATTCCTCTGTTTTAGAGGGAAACAAGCAAAAACAAGTTGGTTTTAAGGTCGTTTAGGATGTCAGGAATCGATTGGGGTTGGTTGGGGAGTTGGTGGGGTGTGTGGGAGACGGTAAACGTACCTGTGAACTTGAGCTGGATTTGTTGGAGCCACTGCTCGAGCATTCCCCCTCGTACGCGTTCACCAGGCTGGACTTTTCGTCGTTGAGATGGTCGAAAGATTCCCGGACTCCCACGGCATTCTCGTTGATTTTCTCCTCCTGTTCTCCTTCGGTGTGGTAGGTCTTGGTCTCGTCCGGGGGCCCATCGTCTTCGCCACCACGGCTGGGCTGCTGTGGCATTGTACGGCCCGGGTTTTAAAAAAATCCACGGGTGGAAAAAAAAATCGCGGCGAAACCGTTTCAAGTTGACTCCACTTTCTTTCCACGTCCCACGTCAATGAACCCCAACCATTCAGTTGTGTACAGACGCAAAGGCGACCGGCCAACATCAAAAGACTCCGCGCCCTGTGATTGACAGCCAGCCGTGTCAGCTGGGGGCCAGTGTAGCCAATCAATTAACGAAGCATTCTGTGATGTCATGCACACCAGATTAATATTAACTACATTTCCGCCGCGATTGAAGGCCAACTGACCAATCGCGCACCGTATCAGCTTGATTTATGTGGGATTATTAATGAATATGGAGTAAAATTCCAGACATTCCTAGCCCCTGATACGGCCGCTGCTAGGGCTATACTAGCAGCACACGCGGTATCCAGTCCGCCTGCTAGATAAACAAGTGATTTCCAGTGCGCTATATATTGCGGATGTCTTGTGTCGAGATGGCGCGATACTATACATCGGGCCGATAGAAAATAAACAAGGTGTTCTTCTGTAGGGGGAAAGCGGCACTAGGGTGCTAATCGTATGCAAATACATGTAAATGCTTGACAGCACTGCTTAAAGTGAGTGCTGGGCGAAATCGAAATGGCTTACTAGGTAATTCCTGCTAATTGCAATGAACTGGTATAGGTGTGATTATAATGACCCGAGACGCTTTAAAACCCATCGGCAAATTAGCTGATTAGCTAAGTCTGGCAGGTCGGGTACATATCATAAACACCCCCCCCCCCCCCAAAGGATCACACAGTAAAAATACAGTGTACAACAACCCCATGCAGTGTGTGTGCATGTACTAGGCCGGATGTTGGCAGTGGCGCATGAACTTGAAATAAACAGACATAAAGCACTTCATGCGCCGTGTCAGTCATGGTCTTATCGGCCTGCATATCTCGGTAGTCGGGATTTGGTATGGCGCGATAGGGGATTTTTTTGGTCACAGCTCTGAGCTTAAACGTAATGGACATGCAGGATTTATAAGATGAAAACTAGCGTCTAGTCACATGACCACTGTATTTTTTTTATAGAAATGGTCACTAAGTTTATTTCCCAGGAGGAGTACACAAATTTGTATTTATAAAGCTCACTAGAGAAATTTGAGATTTACAAGTGAACTTTTTTGAAATTATCATAAAAGGAGCTGTCAATTCTACCATTACATCATCTGCTTTTAATTAATGTCATCAAAAATATCTAAGGATCAACCCGTGACAGCCAGACAATGAGGGTGTAAATAATTACTACGACTAACATGGCATTTCATTTCCACAAATGTTTGTGGTTTTGGTGTCAAATGCTTGATTGTTGCTTTAAGGATTGCCATTTTTTTTCCCCGTGATGATAAAATTATTCAAAGTGCATTAAACTTAGACTGAATATGATGAGCAATAAATAAATACATGTTACTGACTTTTGATTCAATCCGATGATGTATTTCTTTCTATTTGTTACACCTGTTAATGTCTCGGAACAGCTGTTGTTTTGTTTCAATTTAAAATTTATAATTGTTATCTACTAGTTTGTATAATTTAACTAAAGGATCGTTTTCAAATAAAACTCACTAAATCAGTTTGTTGAGAAATGTTTAAGATGACGAAATTATATTTCCACGCCAATCGTAAATAATAGATTTATATTCTAAGGTACTAATGATGAGTGTCTTACAACCCGTGAAAAGGAACCATTTTAAAATACCTCCATTTAAATTTTGACAATCTAAAATTGCAATTGCTTGAAATGGTTCCCTGTTGCGTTGACAAACCAAAAAAAAAGCTCTTGTCATTTTGTGCACACACACACATGGAGACAATATCTCCAGCTGGTGTTCCCTCCTCCCCAGTTAAAAACCACCCAAAAGTGGCTGAATTTCGATTGTTGGCAAAGCAATAATCAGATTAAAACAACATTATTAAAGGGTTTGTGAATCCGTGACTTGGGCCATTTCCACTGCAACCCGTTGTTTTGTACCCGCCTACAACACACGCTCTGTTGACCCGATTTCTAAAAGCCCAACTTCAACCCTTTTTTCTTTCTTTTGAACGAAACGGAATAATTCCTTCCTCTCCGAATATTCCCCATTTCTCCATTTTCTTTCTTCACCATTCGTCGTTGTTGTTGGCGCTTTGGTTGTTTTTTGGTTGAGTGAGTTTCGTTATTTATCGAGCGGGGATGGAGTGTGTCGAAATTAATTCGCATTGGCATAAGCGAGCGGGTCGGCGCGTGGATGGGTGCGGGGGGAGAAAGCTGCTTGGGTCCGGGCAGGCGGAGGGCCAAAAATCGCCTCTGGTCCGGTATCGCCCTGGGTGCTACCCGAAAGATTAGGGTGCGATGTGTACTTTTTATTTCGGCAATTGCTGGCCAAGTTGCACTATTAATTCGCTTTTATATAAAACCCAAAAATGTTAAGAACAGAGGATAGTATCATTGCTTTCTGTATAGTGTTAGACTGTTGTATTTTAATGTTTAATTTCCGTAAAACTTGGATTTCCAATTGCACTGCAACAGATTATATTTTCACAGATACTAACTCCAGATATTCAATAATGATTTTGTCACTTTCTCGTTATTTTGATGGCATCAAAAGGACGTCTTCTTTTACTTTCCGTTAATGTGAATATTTCTTTCCCGTAATTTCCTTTTCACTTATATCTTTAAAGGTTTTCTTTACAGATATTTATCAGTAGTATTTACTTGTTTATTTTGGCGTGATGTATACCTACCTGTCAACCAGGATTAGTGTATTCGTAGCACGGCGGTACACAAAGGAAAAGCAAAGAATGACTGAAGCGAGTGAGGGCGCTGTTTCATTTGTGCGTGGAGAAAATCTGCTCTCGCTTTGCATGCAGAGGAAGTACTTTCCCTGATTACTGTGTTCAAGGCGCTGGTTGCGGCTAATTTCTTCAACTTCAAGCTCTCATTAGATAGAATGATGAATTTTCTTCTTTTCGATTGACTGTGAATTGTGAACTTATCATCTCAATTGCACCAACGGCAAAACAGCTGAAATAGCAGCGACTCTGAAACTATTTCGAAGAAATAAAAGGACATTTAAATGTAATTTCATACATTGAAGAGAGAACAACACGGTGTTCATTTATATTACAAAATTTGTAATTAAAAAAACAAAAGGAAAGATGTCTATAGGTAAAGGAAAATTTCACGCGGTGCGAGCGATTACAAGAAGGAAAAGTCTAATGGTGGTAATGGGTCCCATAGCGCTGCCTGTCAGTGCGGACACCCCACCAGGAGCTCCAGGGCTGCATATATAAAGTCTCGCTATCCCTCCGTCTTTCTTGCTTGCTCGGTCTCTTTTCTTTCTGCGTCTAAGTCCAATTAGGCGTCATATTTCATGAAGCATGATGGCGATTATCACTGACCATAGATAGACCTACATCGCGAAGAAAGACACGGGGCAGAACTGACGGCAGTCTTTAGTACACGGGCCGTGTGTTCGCGGGGCGACATGTACTTTTCAACACTCCAGCGCAAGACGGGGGGACAAAAATTGCGAGTCGATGCGGCGCTGTGAAGTATAAACGGAGGAGACGAGAGCGAACTTACGGGAGGAAAGGTGCGGCGCACAAAAGCCAAAAACAACACGGGGGGCTCGAGACTGCGAGATGACTGAAGGATGGGGGGAAAAAAGGAAACTGGCTTGGATCTGAGGGCGAGAGGAAGATGGAAAGGAGGGGGAAAATCGATGAGGTTGCGATGTCGATGACCCGAAGTGGGAGAGGGGTATAGCGGGGTTGGATGGTGTTATAACCGGTGATATCAGGACGGGAGCACGAGACAAGACATCGGGGTGAAGGGGGGGGGGTTGAGGGGATGCTTTGGCGGTGTGTGAGCGGCACAAACCGGCGGCTGCCTCATCAGTAGCATCAGTTCACGTGTGAGCGGGTTTGCTGTGACATCGTTATCAGTCAAGCTTTCTTTCTCGCCTCCAGTATAAAACTTCGAAATCGTGTAATTTAGGGGAGGGGAAGAAGAATCCTAACGAAGACAGGTGTTTCGGCCGAGCTGCAGAAACAACTTTGTTGCATAAAGAGATATATCCAATGTATACTTATACTCCTTTAATTGGGGGTGGGGTGAGGTGAAAATGGTGGATGACGATTGGAAGATGATCTGTATAGTGGTTCCCATGATTTTTGGTGTATCCAGACCGTCATTTAGGCACAGTCTGGTTTCCATTCCCATTTCTAATGTTCTTGTCCTGTGATCTGATGCAGGACTACACATAGCATCAATGGAAAGATGACATCGCAGAAAAAAACACAAATGCCACCATCAGAGTTAAACTATGTCTGTGATTGTCTGCGATTGGTTTGCAATTTTTCCTAATGCGCAATGCCTTCTGTAAAAAAAAACCACCCAAAAGTGCCTTCTGTAAAACAATCTGAAGCTTCAGAAAGCCAGGGCTTAGCAAAGCAAATTAATGGGGACGTTTTAGTGCAAAGATCAGGTGGTTTTTAGTTGACCGTAAGACGAGGAGAGTACCACCTGGCACATTCCCTTTGAACTTCAGCAAACTGTGTTGGGGAAATCATGGAGCTATATATTGCTCCACGGAGGACTATTGCAAACGACGATCTGTATGCTCCCATGTCACTCATCACAGTATGACGTACACTCCGAGTCGACAAGAAAAGAGATAATCGTATTTGAAATTATCCCCACAAGATGAGCCCGCGCAGCATACGCCCGAATCACCCTTAAAAACATCGCTCGATATCACCCCTGGGTCCATTGTTGTTCCCTGCTGAAGAGCTGGTTTGTCAGTACGTGTTTTTTTCCCCTGACAGACGGGACTCCTCTTGTCCCTCTGACCGTACAGCGGCTCCGGCACACCGGGGTGCAGCCCGGCATCGCACGGTGGGTGTCAACGTCGAGGCGCCTGGCGAGAAAAAGAAGTGACGAAGACTGTCAGAGAAAGGGGGGAGGGGTCACTTCTGCCGAGATTTGCATGGTGTTATCATGCTTCATTTAAAGGAGCAGTTTGTTGTTTTTCTCTGCGTCCTCTGCGTGACCGTCATGGACAAGCTTCTGACAGTGACTAATAGTTTAAGGTGACTGTCTCAAACAATAATCGCCGATGACCCATCAAAACGAAGCACTATAATTAAGTGTTGCGATAAATTCGAAAGGAAACTATAAGGGGAATCTGATATCGAAAATAAAGCTCTGTTTCGTATTGCACTACCTCAATATCTTAATGGATTATCACCACATCACCCGGTGTGGAAAAAAACCCAACAAATCCGTCAATTATTCTATTGTTTGAACAGGGAATTAACAACTGAAGGAACATTTTGCTTTTTTGTATTCATTCAGAGAACGACAGAAGCCACGCACAAAAGTATAGTA